CTTTTGTATCGGTCCTACAGCCGCAGCAGGTGCTGTAACTCTCCAATGGTTTGACATCTCTCCCAAAGGCACACTCTTCCATTATCTCCTGAGACAGATGGATGCCAACTAATAATCACCAAAGTTTCTGAGCATAAGAAAAAGCATATAGTAGTCAAAAAGAAAACTCATTAAAATGCCCATTAGAATCAAAAGGTCTGTGTCAAGTGGCTGAAGTTCAACGGGGGGGGGGGGCGCTGCCTGAACTCAGTCAAGAGGGAGTTCCAGAAAAGCAGTGTCCCAATCCTGAATGCAGAGGTTCTGGCAGAGAAGAGCCCAGGGGACCCTTGTGACTAGGAGTGCTTAGGAGTGTTATGCCAGCTACGGATGTTCCTGAACTGTGATAGCCCAGCCAGAGTAATCCCTGCATTGTTAATCTCAAGACTAGGTTTCTGCAGTGCACTCTGTATGGAGTTGTCCTTTGGCCTGGTCCAGAAGCTCCAGCTAGTGCAGAATGCAGTGACTAGACCACTGATGAAGGCAGATGGCAAGTGACACTTCTGCTAAGATATCTGCATGGCCTGCTTATGTCCTACCAGGCTAGGTTCAAGGCTCTTGCACTAACACACAAAGCCCTGAACACCTTGTATCAATGATACCTTAAGGACGTAAGCCCTTATATCTCAGCTCAACCACTGAGATCATCCAGAGGAGTGCTAATAGCTGTCCTCTGTGTTTTAGAAGCCCATCTGGCTCCAACCAGAAGTTGTTCATTTAGTCTTGTTCCTTCCACGTTGTAGAGTACTCTTCTAGCAGGTATCCTTGCTACTTATTTGCAGATGTCTCTTGAATACTTTTTTTATACTGATAGGCCTATTGCGGGATTGTTGTTGTTTTACACATTTTCAAGATCAGCCAGTCTTTTTATGATTGTTTTGTGTTGTTTTCGTGGTACTTGATGTTTTATTGCATTGCATATTTTGTTGCATGCCAACTTGATGGGTTGTTGTTTTTTGTTTTTTGAGAAGACAGTTTATTTAAAAATAAAATAAATTGTTGTAGGGGGCCTGGTCACACATGCATGTCCAACCCAACCAGACCTACAGGAGTCACCAAGCAGGTGAGACATATCTGAATCCATTGGACAATATTTACTAAACCAGTATTTGCAAATTTATCAAAATTATAAAGATGAAGAAAAGGAAAGCAGATTTCTTATTTTCTTTGCTGTAGAAGAGCCATAAAAGTTCACGCAATCTTGTTTTTTACTTAATATTTTCCAAATCAACATACCCCATATCCTTAGAGTTCAGAGTTACTGCTCAGTTACTGAGTAAAAAGCTAGACTAGTTTGGGAACACAGTCGTATCCTGGTAAAGTATTAAAGTATTCATCGTGCATTTAATCTAATGTACAGTTTGGCCCTGTCCGAGAAACAGGTGACATTTTTGGACAAGAATTACCAGTCTGCTGCATGTGTTGTGGAAAAAAGTATATTATTAGATGCATACTTCCTAACTAGCTAAATTTATCACCCAGATGATTTCTTTCTTTAAAATCATTCTAAGAATAATAGAACAAAAATGGGAACAAATAAATTATTATAGCAAAAATAAAATAAAAACACCATTCATAATTGAAATGTCATTGGAATCAATGCTGCCATTGATAAAAAGATCTCAAGATCTGGAAATCTCATCATCTGGGAACTCAGCCTAGACAATGTTAAGCTTTTCTTCTTGGATGAGCGATCTCCAGTCAAGAACTATTTTCTGTAGACTGATACTCAAACCTGAAGTTAGAAGACTCCTGTTGCACAAGCAACTTTAAACTCCCCATTTGTTGGCTGATGATACATCTTTTCATTATAGTGACAACCGACAGACAAACGTATCTTAATCTAATGGCTTTGATCCATGGGATGCTCTTGGCAAACTCTGTAAACTGCTGTTTCTCAGCAGCTCTTTAAAATTCAGTTTCATGGAATCTTGTGGTCTTTCTCTCATCAGTTTTAATAAGCAGGGAAATCCTATGTGTCCTGCAAAAGCAAAACAAAATGATAGTCCGCTTTGCTTCAATAAATCATGTTGTATCTGCAGACAATAAATAAAAAGAATTCCCATGAATAATGTTTAAATCATCTGTGACACAAAGAAGCAGATAATCTTTGTGTCTGCAAAATTCATTTTCCAGGTTCTGTGCATAAAGTATTTGTCTCTGGATGTATCAGATTTCATATTGTGATCCCATAGGGTCAAAAAAGTTACCGGTAGTTCATTCACTGTTTACTTCACTTGTCACTGCTGATGCTCTCATGGGTGGCAGAGGTGGTTATTGTAAGTTTTTTTTAATTTAACTTATTAGTCACTTGTCACTCAAAGGTTGTTGTTGCTGTTTAGTCATTTAGTCGTGTCCGACTCTGCGTGACCCCGTGGACCAGAGCACGCCAGGCACTCCTGTCTTCCACTGCCTCCCGCAGTTTGGTCAAACTTATGCTGGTAGCTTCAAGAACATTGTCCAACCATCTCGTCCTCTGTCGTCCCCTTCTCCTTGTGCCCTCCATCTTTCCCAACATCAGGGTCTTTTCCAGGGAGTCTTCTCTTCTCATGAGGTGGCCAAAGTATTGTAGCCTCAGATTCAGGATCTGTCCTTCCAGTGAGCACTCAGGGCTGATTTCCTTCAGAATGGATAGATTTGATCTTCTTGCAGTCCATGGGACTCTCAAGAGTCTCCTCCAGCACCATAATTCAAAAGCATCAATTCTTCGGCGATCAGCCTTTATGGTCCAGCTCTCACTTCCATACATCACTACTGGGAAAACCATAGCTTTAACTATATGGACCTTTCTCGGCAAGGTGATGTCTTCAAGTTTAAAGAAATCAATGTGGAAATACATTATACCACAGAAAAGGGAGGTAATCATATAATACAAGGAGAGAAAAGCATAATCTATAGAATGTACAATGTATGGAATTATCTAAGTAAAATGCCCCTCTGATGTCATCCAACCTATATCCTATATCACCAAACAGGGTGGGAATCAATCATATAGAAACAGCAATTCTGTTGCTGAAGTTATAGTGATTTTCAAACTCTGGAGTGGGTAACATTTGGGAGGAGCTGTGAAATTTCAGGGATGGACCCTGAAGCAGATGGCAAATTCCTTCCACACTAGTCCTGGGTAAATAGAATGTCCTCTAGTAATAGACCCTTGCTGCTCTATGCTGGATTTGTTTATTATTTATACCCCGCCCATCTGGCTGCGTTCCCCCAGCCACTCCTATTGCTTCAGCTTACAACCAAACAATGTAAGGAGATGGATTTGATTGTACTCAACACTAAAGCATGATACCAGACCCTGTAGTTGTAGCCTTCATCCATACATCTACCTTAAGAGACCCATTGTACCCTTGCATTGGGACGGGGGGGGGGGGAGTTGTAGTTCCTTCTCCAAAAGGTGCCATTTTGCCTGGGAAATATAAGCTGCATTGACTTCAAAGGACAAATCTGGGTGGATGCAAATGTTTCCTTCTGAAAACTACTGCTTTTTAGCTCAAGTGGCTGGTTGGGCTGGGGGGACTCCTGAGATGGCAAATACCAAGACCATATAACACCGGTCCTGAAAGACCTACATTGGCTCCCAGTACATTTCCGAGCACAATTCAAAGTGTTGGTGCTGACCTTGAAAGCTCTAAATGGCCCCAGCCCAGTATACCAGAAGGAGTGTCTCCACCCCCATCGTTCTGCCTGAAAACTGAGGTCCACCGCCGAGGGCCTTCTGGCGGTTCACTAACTGTGAGAAGCAAAGTTACAGGGAACCAGGCAGAGGGCCTTCTGGGTAGTGGCGCCCGCCCTGTGGAACGCCCTCCCATCAGATGTCAAGGTGATAAAGAACTACACAACTTTTGGAAGACATCTGAAGACAGCCCTGTTTAGGGAAGTTTTTAATATTTGATGTTCTATTGTGCTTTTAATATTTTGTTGGGAACCGCCCAGAGTGGCTGGGGAAACCTAGCCAGATGGGCAAGGTATAATTTTTATTATGATTATGATTATTACCCAAACCTCCCTCCTGTCCTAATCTAATGGAGCCCCAAGCTGTATTCAGGGATTTTTTTCTCCACATGACTCCCTGCCTCCCTAAATGAACAGCATATGGGTTGAACAATTAGGTCTTCCCTGGGAACCTCATTGCTATTTGCTATATTTTTTCTCAAAAAAGTTTCCATTTTCTGAGACTTTTTTATTTTGTTTCTGTTGCCTTCCCATGTTATTTGCACTGACATCTAGCTCATTTCCAGGCACTATTCAAAATGTTGGTTCATAACTGCAAAGCCCTTAATATTTCCGTAGGATATGTGAAGGAGCTGTTTCTCCTGTACAACACTACAGAAGCATAATGCATTGGCCACAATACAGATTTTTTTCTATTATGATACCCAAGTTGTAGGACTCTCCCTAGGAAAGCCTGGCTGGTTCATTCTATCTTAAGCTTCAGACAGACTGCAAAGAACTTTTCATTTTGCTGAGCTTTTTAGTATGGATTAAAGTTCAGCATCCCTGTTTCAATGCTGAATTATTTTATCATGTTCTTGGTTTTATTGTAGACAACTGATTTTAGTAATTTGGAGTGGTTTGCTATATTTTATGCATTTTACATTTGTGTGTGTGTGTGTGTGTAAGCTGCTTTATTTTATAAAGAAAATTAGGGTATGTTGCTTTTTAAAAAATAAATATAGGAATCCTAGAAATCTGTCATATAGTCAGTTGATGTTCCTTAATGGGACTGAATTCTTAGAAGATTGCTTTGGCAAACACGGCTTTAACCATTTTCTCTCTTTTGCGGCCCCAGTCTAGATTGGGGACCCAACACCAACAATTTGCATTGCATGCACGTGCGCGCGCGCACACACACAGATCCCATTCATTTTAATGGAACTTTTGTTTCTTACATTGTAAATCGTGCGTGTGCAAGGATGTGATATGGATCAATACAACCTCCTCTCCTGCTGCAGAATCAGATGCATGGAAAAATTGATCTGGAGCAGAAATGGAGTGAGTCAAAGGTTTAAATCCTCTTTCCCCCTGCCCTGCTGCCAAATCCGATGTGCAGTTGCTCATGAGTGATAGATTCCCACACATAATCTTTGAGTTTTTATTTCAGCCCCCCCTTCTGTACCTCCTCTGAGAACACTGCAATTCATTCAGTTTGATAATTTACTTGAGGCTTTCCATGCCACACATTGAAGTACGTAGCTAGTAGAGCAACTCCCCTCCAGAGTGCCACTGTTGAAAGATACTCTCAAAAAGAGCACAGGTGTATGTAAATCCAGCACTTATGTGCCAAGGTTTGTCTTACAACAAGTATGATAAATTATAGCAAGTGTAATTAGTATCCAGTTTTACATCTGGGCATAGGTACTCCCATGGGACACTCTAATATTCACTGCTTTGCAGCCTGCACCTATGTAATATTTAGTTAGAAGTAAATTTCACTGAGTTCAGTACAACTTACTCCCAAATGAGCATGTATAAAATTGCAGTTCTCAGATGGCTTTTTCATAGCAGAAGACAATAATTTTACCATTTTAACCCATGAACATCTTTTAGGTCACTCTTTGCTCGCTCTGATCAAGTCCATTACTTCCCTTCTGCAAAATTAACATGAAATATGTAGTCACATTGCGATCAAGGACCCCAGAAGGAGGCGTTTTCCTTCAATCAGTGTGCAAAATTCTTCTCAGAATACTTCTGCGTAGCTTAGCAACCGGTAGAGACATTCATTCCCAAACTAATATTTCAGGCCAAGATAATGACTGGCAAACAACCAAACTCAACTGGTATTGTTGCCATGCCTTTCACATTAACAAAGGGAAGCAATGCAAATTTACTTCTGGTAGTTTCTGACTTTTCTGACCAACTGAATTTGAGAAGAGAATATACATTGTTTGAACAGGAGTAAGTTTTGCTCTTAATATTCAGCTTCAGTGAATTAACTTGCAGTGACTGACCTTGTTATTACTCTGGTAATAAAGAGCACTACAAAGATAGGGTAAGAACTGCAGTACCAGCTGCAAGGTAGAAAATGTATTAGTTTAATGCATTTATTAATATTTGCATATTCCTAACTACCTGCGCATAGTTGAGGATATGTGCACATGCTCATATGCATGTCCCGCATACAAATATACTTTACTGTAATGGCCCCCTGCCCCTGATCTGAATATATTCATTCTTCCCCACACCTCACTTATTCCTGCACTATTAAGCCTCTTTCCCCATCCCCTGCTGCTGCTTTAGACCATTGTAGCCTGTTTTAGACCAATGGTGGCTTTAGTGAGGCTGTCCTTTATTATGATCCTACACATTGTGCTAACACGTATTGGGTGGTACAACATTTGACAGCTCTTGTATATCATCATCATCATCATCCTATTTCTTGGACTTAGTCGCTTTGAGTTCTTGTTTTTTTTTTAAAAAGTGACTATGTATACATCTACAGTATATCAATCCACACACAATACAATACAATACAATACAGTACAATGCAATACAATGCAATACAATACAATACAATACAATACAATACAATACAATACAATACATATATCGCTTATGAATCATTGATATCAAGTGGACCTAAAGAGTTCCCTTGAAGTGATGTTGAAAATGAAAATGAGGTATCCTTGTGAGCAATATGTGCTTTGGTTTAAATGCCTTTGTTAGGTTTAATTCACATGTAATTTAGTTTTGTTTGGAAGGAGTTTGATGTTGCCATATGAGGATAAAAACCAGCCCTTACGTTATGCTTGTTGGCATTGTAAAGATTAACCTATTTTATTTTAAAATCATGAGCTTTAATAGAGTCCATTTAATCAGATGCTAACATAGATCAAACAACAGCAAGTATACAGTATAAGGGCAGCTGGTTGGGGGGGGGAATGGGGACTGCTCAGCAACTGCTCTTACATGCTTGCTATCATTCAGCCAATGTCAGCATCTGACAAAGTGAACTGTAGTCTATAAAAACTCACATTCATAAATGGCACACTAATTGTAAAGATGCTAGGAAGATCAAGTTTTCCTCCTTTAAAACAGAATAAAATAAATAGTTGTGGTTTATTATTGTGCTTATCACATGACTCAGAATTTGAATTTTGCTTTATGTGTAATGTAGGAACAAAGCAACCCAAACCCTGGCAGGCAACAGCAGGACTTAACTGAGAGGTGGAGCCAGCACCATCACTACAGCTGAAGCCCCCTCATTCCCAACCCCACTTGTGCTGGACAAGGCAGAAGGGAGGAGAGGGGCAGGAGGGGGGGGGAAATTCATTATTATTAATTTTTTGCTGTGCCAGCTCCAGGCAGGCACAGCAGAAAAAATCAGATCAGGCCTGATGCAGTATGTAGCTGGACTGGCTTAGCTGGATCCTTGGCTAGTAAAAGTTTACCCACCCCCCTTGCCACTCTCCAAATGCCCAGTCTTGGGGCATACACCAGTCACTGCTCATCCCACCCCCCTCCAACAGTACAGACTGGGTTCTTGCGGTGGTGGATTTCTCTGTCAACATGCCCTTCCCCTCCCCGCTGAGTTCCATAAGGGCAACACTGAGACTAAGGAGAAAGAGTCTTGCAGGCAGTGCCACTCTCTGGACTGGTTGTAAGAAGGCAGGTTGAGGGCTGAGGTCAGACCAAGGTTGGTGGATCAGTCTTTACTGCTTTCATGATATATTTATCAAAATGTCTGTAAGACATCACACATAGCTTAGTTGGTTAGATTGTGGTGCTGATGTTGCCAAGATTGCAGGTTCGATCCACGTTTAGGGCCGCTACATATTCCTGGGTTGCAGGGTGTTGGACTAGACAATCCTCAAAGTCCCTTCCAATTCTACAATTCTGTGCTGGGAAATCCTTTGCTCCCCAAATAGAGGGGTGCCTTTTTAAAACAACAACAACAACGGAGCTGATCTGCATGGCATTCATCCGCAACATTCTCAACCCAGCCCTTTTCCCTTTGCAGTTATTAATACTGTTTGTGTTGTTTGCCTGCGCAAACCAAAAGCAATTATTTCTTTAAAACGTTGCTGCCTTCAAACGAAGGAAGCTGACTGTCCTGAGATTTTAAGTGGTGTCACTCTGTTGACCTTGGGCAGCTGATGCCTAGCAGGTAGTTGACGAATATGTGGACCATGTCTAAATCAAGAAGCAGTTAAGGACAAAGCTCAGTCAAAAACATCACCCGTCTAATGAGAGAGTAGGCATGCACTGCGGTCAGCAAGTGGAAACTCTCAGCTTCCACTTCATTGGGCCTTCTTTTTGCCCACATATGCAGCCCTATAATTTCTTCATGAGTCAGTGAGAGTTGTGTGGTTACTGCTGAAAGCAAACAAAAAATGTGCCCAAATAATGCATTTTATGTGGCAATTGGCATCTCTGGATATCATATGCTGAGCACATGCCCACTTTCCTCTGAAGCAGAATGCGTGCCCAGCAGTGCAGTGGGTGGGTGGGTGAAATGAAATGGTGTTTGCATACACTGGGGGATATCTTGCAACCCATTTATGGCAACTGATCATGTAAACTTAAAAGCACAAGAAGAGCCCTGATGCATCAGACAAAAGGCCTTTCTGGCTCAGCATTCTCTTTTTCCAGTGGCCAAATAGATGTCCATGGGAAGCCCACAAGGAGGACATGGGCACAATAGCACCCTACTGGTCATGACCCCCAACAACTAGTAATCCCTGATAGTACTAGAGGCTGGCAGCCAAAGATTTCAGATGAGTATGTGAAACTGAGGAGCTTAAGTTGCATGCTCATGTTATGGGCAGGGGCTCTTATACCAAGGAAAAATGCAAAGGAAGAATTCAGTGTATGCCTTCTTCTGTGTGACGGTCATGACTTTTCTTTCGCTCATGGGTACAGAGATTACCTAGGGGCTGGCAAAACCAACTCCTGCCAGGGGATGCAGACCTAGTGAGGGGCACAAATTACCCATTAGACTATGGAGTGCATGATGTATATGCGTGTGGCAACATGATGCAGCTGTTGTGGCAATATCAAATGCAGAAGAAACTTCCTGTCCTTCTTGCACCATGGCACAAAGGGATGCAGTAAAGTGATCCCCCCCAGGGAGGAGCGCTGATACAGCTCCTTGCCAACAATGCAAGACACCCCATGTACACCTGATTTTCAGGAGGATCATTTGCTTTCCAGTAATAATGAGCTGACACCCATACAACAAAAGCCAGGAGTCCTGATGAGAGAATCACCTGAAAGCAAATGCTGACTGCACCAGCTGGAAAGTTAGGGAATATTGTTACCATCACTCCACTTTTCTAAGCAACGAGAATTTCTAGGAGCACAGTGCTTACCTGGGGCTTAGTTGCCATTGAAAGAAAGTCACTAGAGGCTTATGGTATTTTTTAAAAATAAGTGAGGTGTGTGTGTGTGTTCTCCTATATAAATAAAAAGGTAAGGTGTCATCATGCTCTACAGCCAATAGGCTGCCCTGCCAACTGCAGCATGAGGAACCGCAACAGGACCAGGTAAGTTGTTTAACAGAGGGCAGGAAGCACCATGAATCACCTCTACCCTCCATTAATTGCACACCTACTGTGAGGTTTCACAGAGGGTGGAGGCCCTTCGCACAGAGGAGTGGTGGAGACCTCCACCTCAAGATGTGTCTGGGCAGGAGGAAGTTGATGATCTGATGGACCTGGATTCAATGGACCCAGATTTGTGGTGGTGGAGAACAGTACACATCCCAGAAGAGGAAGCCAAGAACTGGGAAGCAATGGAAGATGCGGAACATGAGCATGCAAGCAGATTCTCTAGTCCTGAACAGAGACAGCATTCAGAAATGGGATAAATAGTACAGCATACAGTGGACACTACATCACTTGTGAAAGCCTGATGGAACCTCCTTCTTCTCCATGGACCAAGCAATCTCTTCGTATCTTAGAGCAGAAGGCAAAACAGAGACAGAAAGATTCCATTGCTGGCCACCATAGGCAGTAAGGAGGGGTTTGGAAGCTAGGAATTGCTGCAAAGGGGATGGCGCAGACACTTTGAGCAACATACCAAGACTGAAGGGAGCATTATCAATGATCTCTCTGTGTATTCTGTTGATTTAAAATAAAAGAACTAATAGAAACTCTCTGCATCTCTAATTTCACTAGGCAGCTAGCCTGGAAGTCATGACAGGTAAGGTATAAAGGGAGGTGGATTTGGTCAGGTGTCATGGAAGGGCAAAGGAGTAGACAACCCCTGATATCTATCCGTCATCTATCTATCTGTCATCTTTCATCGATCATCTATTTGTCTTTCTTTATATGCAGGTTGAACATAGCTGAAGGCTTCAACTTCCAGCCAGCTATACTATCCAAAATGAGATCTCTGTTGGCAAACAAGTTAACTATATTTCAAGTTATGTTTCTCTGAACAGTAAGGCCTTGACACAGTTTTGTAAGATTTGCAAGGACACCCTTTTTGGTGCTTTGAAAATGTTATATAATTGCTGTGGGAAACAATGTGGCAAAATCAATGCAGAGTCCCTTTGCATGTTGAAAAGAAGTACATGAGTGAGTCATTCACTTCCGCTTTCCTTGCTTTGGCTGCGACAATGGGAAATGTGACTTATTTAAGGAGTCCCCCCTCCCCTCCATTGCAAATCCATGAGCTTCAAATAACTTCTGGAGCTTGTCAGTACACCTTGGTAAAATGATGATCTGAGAATCCTACATTCAGGGTTACATTAGAAAGGCAGTGAGGAGGATGTGCAAAGGACTTGGGATATTTCTGGATTGTCACATGAATAAAGTGGAGAGGGAAGTTGTCCTTCCTTTCTCATAGCACTAGAATGCAGGGAAATCCAATGAAGCTGAATGTTGGAAGCTTAAGGAGAGATAAAAGGAAGTACAGTGGTACCTCGGGTTAAGTACTTAATTCGTTCTGGAGGTCCGTTCTTAACCTGAAACTGTTCTTAATCTGAGGTACCACTTTAGCTAATGGGGCCTCCTGCTGCTGCCGCACTGCCAGAGCACAATTTCTCTTCTCATCCTGAAGCAAAGTTCTTAACCCGAGGTACTATTTCTGGGTTAGCAGAGTTTGTAACCTGAAGTGTATGTAACCTGAAGTGTATGTAACCTGAGGTACCACTGTACTTTTTCACAGAGCACATAATTATACAGAGGAGGAAGTGATGGCCATAGTCTTGAATTAGCCAAATTCATGGATGATAAAGCTATCAACAGATATTAACTGTGATGACTATGCTCTGCCTCCATGGATAGAGACTGCAATGCTTCTGAAAACATGTTCCTGGAACTCACAAGTGGGGAGAATGCTCTTCTGCTCAGGTCTTGCTTGAGGCATCTGGCTGGTTGCTGTGAGAACAGGATGCTGGACTAGATGGGCAATTGGCCTGATTCAACAGGCTCCTATTATTTCTTATGCCATTTTTAGGTGGGATTCAAATAGACACCAGCAAATTCTGGTTGCACAGTTAAAGCTGCTTTGGAGCTCTGGCATAACAAACCCAGTTCTCAAGAAGAAAACGGAAAAAAGGTTACTTTTTCAATACGAAAAATGCATTGTAAAGTGTGGAATCACATTTACTTGATGTAACATTGTTGAATTTTTCTGCAAATGAATATAACGAATGCTCAATAAATAGCCAATGCCATCTAATCACAAATAAATCACAAACAAATCAGAACACATCCTCAATAAACAAGTTATCTGGAAGCAACATCACTCATCCTATTTTGTTACTTCTTTCTAATTTCGAACCTCTCCTAAAATATCATGTTCATTGGCTCTTCTTTTTTAAAGTCTTGACTGGCAAGCGTGGTGAGATTCAGTTCATTCTTTCCAAGTTCTCCATGCATTGGAAAGCTGAGTCTGGCCTGAAACATTTTATTATGATTTCCCACAGAATCATAGGGTTGGGAAGGATCATATGGCCATTTTATTTAATCTTCTGCTGCACACCAGTAAAGCTACCTGCTTGGCATTGCTTGTTTGGATGGGGGAACGCCACCATACTGCAGGATCATATTTTGTCCCCACGTGTTGCTACAGTAAAAAACAAACAAAAAAGCAGCCTTGTCAATTAAAAGAAGAGCGCCATTCCAAGGGACAGGCAGGTCGGGCTCTGCTTGCTTTTGGAACATGCCCTCTGCCAGGCTGCCACCTTCGTGTAGGTCAGCAAAGGGTGCCTGTGTTCCAACGCGAGATGACTACGATTAGATTGAGATTAAATTCTCCCTGTCGAACCCTTCTGTTATCATTATTCCTACACCGCAGCCCCGATGCTCCAGGAGAAAGGGGACGAGAAGGCTGGGCGAACGGGCGCTTGCAGAGCCCTTTCCCGTTGCCACAGCCCTCGCATTCCCGCGCACTGCAAGCCGACGAGGCGGTGACTGAGAGTGAGGGCAGAGCCGAGCAAGGGCAGCAGCTTCTCCGAGGCTTCACGTCCCCACTGCCCATGTGCAAAGGGGCCGCACATGCTCCCTGGCCGCCTCTCCTCGGGCAGTGTGCACATGCTCAGTAGCAAGATGGACGCTTTTCTGATGCAGGGTTCATTTTGGTAGCGCCGCGGCGGCCGCCGAGCGATCGCTTCCCCCTCGAGCCGGCTGCAGGACCTCGGCTGGGCGATGGCGCGCTGCAGGCTGCTCAGCCATCTCCGGCTGTAATCCAGCGGGTGGACGGGGGCGCCGGTGGCATCCCGGCCGTCTCTCTCTTTCTCTCTTTCTCTCTCTCTTCCCTGGCTTGTGGTAAGTCCTGGACGTTGGCGGAAAGGGCCGCGTCGCTGGGCTCCGGAGGGGTTTCTCCATCCGCGCCCGCTTGGAGGAATGGCAAGGCTTCGGGTGGCCGCGGGGAGAGGCCGGGCGATTGGCCGTGCCAAGGCAACGGGCGCTCTGTGCGCTCCGTGCGCGCCCAGTCCTGCCTGGCTGCGTCCCCCTGCAGAGGTGGCCATCTCCAAGCCGCCCTCTCCCTCTGCAGCAGCTCCTGTCTTGCTTCCTTCTTTCAGTACCTCGGCCAGCACCTTTGCAGCTCCTGGCGGGGTGTTGCTGTTGCGCTTAGTGGCTCATTCTTCATGGCCGGCCCTTCCCGAGGTTGGGGAGGTATCTGGGGGCCTCCTTGGCGCTGTGCTGGTTGAGGAAGGAGCCAGCCAGGGAGCCTGCCCTCGACTGTAGAGGCGGGAAACTACAGTTGGTCCAAGAGGGAATATTTTGCTTTTGTCTGGAAATTGGAGGCGGTGGAAGTGGGTAAAATCTAGGGAGGTCTCTAGTCACCGCTATCTTGATTTGTGTGTGAAGCAGGCAAGAAAGTGGCTTTGGCCAGAGATCCATGGTGCACAGAGGCCTTGTTGTTCAAAGGTGGGAGTGGGGAGGGCAAGCAAGGTCCTGCAAGGCTGGAGGTCTGTGTGAACACCTGTTGCCAAGGTTGCATAGGCAACTGTTAGAAGACGACAAAGAAAAACACCGAATGGCTTCAAATTGGCTTTCAAGACTCATCTTCTGGTGAAAAATGTGCTGTATGCCTTTTCCCTCTTCATTGGACTTTTGCCGCTTGCAATTCTTAGTGCTCCAGTGCTTTCTGCTGACCTTTAGAATACTGTAGGGGAAGAGGTCACAAAAGTCCCCTGGTAGGGAGGGTGGGGAAGGGTTGCTGGGAGACCTGGTACTGTGGTACTGGAGGGATAGGGAAAGCACCACCACCACCACCGCTTCCCCCAGTGCTGCGGCAGGGAAGAACCGCCATTGTGATCATAGCTTGGCTGTGGGAATGGAAAGTCCCATGTCTTGCAATTTGGCTGGGAGCCCCGGCTGCTGTTGCTCTGGGCATAAGGAGATGCTTCTTCTGTTGCTCTTGGAAGGAAGACAAGAATGTCTTCTGTTGCTGTGACTGAAGGGATATAAATATCTTTCTGCTTTTAAGAAAAAAAAATGTGGCTGCATCTAGAAAAAGATGAATGGAGATGTAGAAAAATGCAGCCACCGTTATAAGATTCAGGCACTTGCTCTAGAGAGTGAAGCCCGGACAATTCCCTCCACCCCCCACCCCCGCCGCCATATAGTGCGGAGATCATAAAATGCAGAGGATTTTTTCCCTCCTTCAGTCAGTGCAGCTAGGAGCAGGCAAGCAGTATTTGGTACTGAACATGAACACTTAGCTCTGCTGGAAATGTGTTTGTTATTCTTTATGCCGATAAGAAATATTCAATAAGAAAGATGCTGTGCAAATATAGTGTGATAGTAAATGTTCTCAGTGATGCAAGCAACACATGCAATTTGTTTCACTTTGTGAATGGGGCAGTAAATGCAACACTAATGATAAGAGAGGTGATTCATTGTTAGCAAAGACACATGGTTCAGTGGGATGTCTTAATTAGCACTCATTACTAAAACTTCCCACTGATATTAATGGAACTAGTAGTGAAAATAAGGGTTGGATGGACAAGGCCTGGATCTGTATGTCTTGTATTTGCTCAATAATTGCAAGTATTTTTTTGTTGAAATGTTATAAATATGTGTATGCCAGCATACATATTGTAAGTTTTAGTTCTTGGGAAGCTCATCTAGGTGGATTTCCATTTAGGTAGCTTCCTCTGGAAGATGTAAATTTGTTCTGCAAACATATCAACACCAGGTCTGTAGGTATAAATTACCAACTATTAGGCAGCTGCTCATTTAGGAACCTAAGAATAATCCTGCTCAGTCAGGCCAAAGGCCTATCTAGTTCAGCATTTTGTTCACTTAGAGGCCAACGATATCTCTATGGACCCCCAGAAGTAGGACATGAGTGAAACAGCACTCTGCCCATCAAGATCCCCAGCTACTTCCTGTGATGCTGGAGGTAGTAGCCATCATTTGTAGCCTTATTGACATTGACAGCTTTATCCTCCATGAATTTGTCTGCATCCAAGTTGACTGTCATCACTACATGTTACGGCAACAAATTCCACAGTTTAAATAGGCATGCTGTGAAGAAGTACATCCTTTTGTCTGTCCCAGATCTTTCAACATTCAGCTTCATTGGATGACTTCTGGTTCTAGTAATATACAAGAGGGAGAAAAAGATATCCCTACCTATTTTCTCCACACTATGCAAAATTCACATAGCTTTGTCATTTCTCCCTACTCTTACTTGCCTTTCCCCCTCAAATAATTTTCATAATGAATGCATGTTCTATTAGAACACAATGGTCATGATCCAAGACAGAGTGAGTTTACTGGGTTTAAGCATGCCCAACGCTATTCTAGATTGTAGCCAATAAATCTATCTAAATTATTCATACAAGCATTTCTAATTAATGAGAAATCCACATAAATTATCAGGGCAATCCTATACTTAGGTATTCGGAAATAAAAGCCCTGAGTTCAATGGGATTTACTCCAAAGTAAGCAGTAATAGCATTGCAGCCTTTGTCCAGTAGCTTGTCATTGGAATGATTTAGTGTTTACAATGATTTACTTCCTTGGTAGGAAGTTTTCCTATTTTTCACATTCAACTTCATTAATATATGACTTTTTTTCCTCTTGCTTATCACAGGTCAACTTTTGTTCTGGACTTAAAAGTCCCCACAATGAAGTTTTCCCTGGCGATTCTTGGGTTTGTTTTCTTCTTCTTATGCATTGAAGAAGTCTACTCCAAAGAGAAATCTTCAAAGAAAGGAAAAGGGAAAAAGAAGCAGTATCTCTGCCCTTCGTATGTCCCTTACATATATATTTTTAATTGTGTATAATGACAGTGCGATAAAGTGCACGTTTATAGTTTTCTTATGAAATGATAGAGTTCAAATAAACAATATTAATGCACTAAGGGTGACATCCAGTGATGTCCACCCACTTGTGCAAAGGAAATCCACTTGTGCCACAGGACCTCTAGTTTTTCTCCTCCCCCCCCAATCCATCTCCCTGTGCACCCCCACAATCTGTGATCCCCTAATCCTCCATAGCAGCTTTCGGAAGTGTGTGTCGAAAGGGATTGCAGGTGGAGGGCAGGATGAAGAAGCCCTGTTGAGTGGATGCCCACTCACACTATAATGCACAATAATGTATTCATTTTATTTATTTATTATCAGATTATTGGAATTTTGGGAGCTATGTTTATTCATGACCAATAGTAGCCAGTCAGGTGTTTTGTTAGCTGAAACTGCCATCAGCTTCTCAACAAGGTCTAACCATCAATCATGTATGTATATAGATATGTTACGTGCTCAATGTAAAGGGATGTCAGTAATAGAAAACTGATGGATGGTTCAACATTTTTGAGAGAAGCAAAGGGTCAGGTTGCATGGAAGAAACTTCAGCACATGACCTGTGGATAAAGAAGCCATAAAAAGTTGGCAAGAAGGAGTGACAAGGAAGGGGGGGCTTGGAAAGTGGGAAAGGGGAAGGGGATCGGTACAGCTGACGTTTACAGGGCCAGTGGCCGAAAGGAAAGATTGTTGAAGGCAATGGGCTGAGAGGCTGGGATTTGAATGCTTGAAGATGGGACAAATAGAAAAATGTGGCAGAAAAGAAGGTTAAAGGAGTAAACAGAACCAGGAAAAACCTCATGGATAGGTAAATGGGTTTTTGGAAACCAAGGATGATGTGAAATCCAAAGAGGGGGTGGAATATCAGCAATGCCCTTGTTGATTTGAATTGATCAATTAAATCTTTGATAATGAGTGCCTGGTTTCCAGTTAATTTACATGCTGAATATTTTCACAGGCAATTCTAAACCAAAAACCCATGATATTCCCAGACCTCCTTTTCAGATGCTTTCCTCTGCTCATTGTGTGAGCAGTTGAACAAGCTTGTCCCCAAACCTCAAAACTATGGTTAGTGACTTCAAAGCAAGACAATATATGGCTCAGTATCCTGGGTAGTTTTGAAGCCATTTAACTATTGCTCCTGGGTTCACACATAACAGGAAACAATGGTTAGGTACTGAATCTTGGCTTGTTCTGTTGTTAGCACGAAGGGAGGAGGCAACTGTTTATTAAGTGGCTGTCTACTATTGAGTCTATATAATAACTTGGTAAGCCACTGATATGCAACAGAGATGGGGAAGTGAGCCAGAACTTTATCTGCCCCATAGTTCAAAGAGCTTGTTAGCCCTGTGTGCTTCCCAAATGCCTGACAACCATCTGATTATCAGGCTTTGGGAAAGTGGTGTGCAAAGTGCTTAGCCCAATGCCCACAAAACCCATTTTTATTTTATTGACCACACCCTTACCTGGGCGGATGGGTATGGCTTGCCCAAAATGACCTCCTGGGTCCAATAGGATGACCTGGTCCACAGCCTGCCATTTCCTAACCCCTGAACTATAATGCAGATTCTACATGGTCTAACCAAGAAGTGAGAAGTAATCAAAATGTGAGGCGGCCGGACAGCAATAAGATTCTCCTCACTATTTGAATATAGACAACTTGCTTAAGAAATGCACACTTTGGTAAATTATCACTTGGTAAATGCTTCTCTCTATCATCCATGGCTTAATAGAAAGTGCACTAAGTATTAATCTTTGCCTATATTTTGTCATGAACACATAGGCTTGAAGAAACATTCTGCATAACTTATTTTTTTAATGTTATATTTATGTTCCACCTTTCTTTCAAGTAGCTTGAAAGTTTCCCCCACACTTAAAATAGTAGCTTGTCTAATAAAAATAAAACAACACTCAATTGCTCAGTGATCTGAAGATGAATTATAAGGAGGATGTTGGTGTTTTCTATTTCTGGAAAGTACTGTGCAGAGAACATTTTCATGACACAAACATTTTATAGGTAGCTACAATAATTTAGCTAGTGTACTGCAAGAGATTTATGTACAGTCCAGGTTTATAATGTGTCTGCTTAAGGACAGAGTGTTACAGTGGGCAATTTGGCAATGCAATACATCTCTGGGCAAGTGCTTATAATTAAGTGTTCTTGGGCTGGTAGGGTTCTGGGTGCTGTGTAGGTAAAAGTCAGTATTTTACAAAATGTATCAATGCTGTTCCCTCAGGGCAGGCTGTTAGCCAGGTGCCATATTCTAGTGTTAAGTTGGCTAGTAGCAATATGAAGTCAACAGATGGGACTGCGGGGATGAGAATCTGCATGGGAAAAGAAGTTAATTATTATATTGCAGGCAAATATTTACTAGAAATGCTCTTCCATTTTCCAAATAGGAGAATTCTTGCCATGATTACTCATGCTTCTGTTTAGCTCTAGTTATGTAATTATTGACTGGTTTGAGAGGCTTTTCTTCTGTCTGTTTAGATCTCAGCCAGCTTGTTTCAACAGTTGCACTTTATATATCATAACCATAAAGGAGTCATCAAATTGATATTGTATAGTTCATCTTTTTGTGGGGTTCTGCCTTTTAAGGAATGTCTTTCATGTATTATCTGCTTAAGTATAAGCTTGCTTAACCACTCCTTGTGTAAGATAGGTTGATGCAAAATTCACTTTTGGTATATGTTGCTTTTGTGTAATAGAAGGATTGGAGTGGGTCCCATTGACTTAGGTCGAACCACAATGGATGCAAAACTTTCATCAGTGCTCTGTGCCTGCCATTATTTCTATGTCCACTGCTGGAAGAAAATTATAACATAGCGTTGGTTCAGTAATTGGGGGACCCCATTGTAAGTATTTATTTGCCAGCATCACAACTCTTAGGATACTGTTTACATAATGTAAGGCAAAGTTCTCATGTACAAGGACTTAAGTGAATACTATGGTTCCTGTTGCTTATTACAAGAAAGTGGATGTATATTTCTGGTATGTGCAGTTAATACAAGTTTGGGGTGAAATCTGGCATGACATGCTTCAGGTTAGGCCCAGTGTCTGATAATTTAAGATAGGGATGGGCAACCTCCTGCCCATGAAGCAGATTCACCCCAGAACTGTGTTTCATTCTAGCCCTTTGATACTCCACCTCACGTATCAGCTGTTCAGTGGGCAGGGGCTAAGACTGAAAAGGACTTTGATGTTGATGATGCAAGTGCAGCTACTTCTACAAGGAAGATCTTTTGCAAGAAGATCAAAGCAGAGGAGGAACTATCCTAGCAAATAGGTAGGCTCTTTGTAGTGCTGGGATAGCTCAGTTGGTAGAGCTGAGGCTATAAATCTCCGGGTCATAGGTTTGAGCCCCATGTTGAGCAAAAGATTCCTGCATTGATGAGGTTGGACTAGATGAGTCTCGTGGTCCCTTCCAACTTTACAATTCTATTATTCCTTTTCCTTGCAAACATGCAGAGCATCCCTGCAATCTTCAGGATGCTGTTTTGAAGTTTGTGAACTTGAATAGCTGTAAGGCAGGTATTGCATTGTGAATTGATATTATTTCCATTCTTATGCTGGAAGTACTGAGTTCTTTTTGCCTTTTGAACATTCAGGACAGATAAAGGGTGTTGGGAAAATGGAAGGTGACACTCGACTGGAGTTACTAAGAATAATAACTATGACTCTGCTTCCATGGGAAATAGCTTTGTGTTTGTGCATGCAGCTGTGTGCATCTGTGCAAATGTGTTAAGGTGAGCGATTGTATGTATTGATTTGCTCCCATCCATTTTGTTGTCTGGCCTTGCCCTGTACCCACTGATGGGTTAAGATTCAGTGCCTTAAGACTCAATGTGTTGCCCAGAATAGGAAGTGTGAAAGGCTGCAGTGTTTCAGTAATGGATGCAAGCATTCTGTTTTATGATTTTCCTTGACTGTAGTTTAACCTTCAACACTGTGAAACAGGGTTACTTGGCAAGAGAGCTTCTGTATGTTCCTAACAACCATAGAAACAGGAAACACGAATGGACCACATTTCCTGTTTTCCTGTTTCTTCTGATACATTTGGAAAAAGAGGCTGGTGTATCTATTCTATAGTATGGAGAGATGTTTGTCTTTTTGTTGTGGGATGAACAAACCAGAAATATGTGCATTACCATGTAATATTCAACAGTCCATAAAAGTAAGATCCCAGTTTGTAACTGATTTTGTGTTGTCATAGTCCAACATGTTAACCACTACAGCAAAATACCTCTGTACACACTTGACTTACTGTATGCAGAACAGCAATTTGGGCTCATGGCCTCATGCATTCAAATCTAGACTGAGAGAGGAAAAGGGAAAACCTTTATGTATTGCAAAGGAAGTAGTAGTCATTTTAATAATCTATAGGAGTTTTTAAAAATAATGTAAATATTAAAGAGTCATTTTATTTTAAATTCCAGGCTATATAGCCAAAGACAAAATCTTCTTTACTGAACCTGAAGGTATTACTGAATTAATCAGGATGTTTAGTTGATTAATGGTTTGGTAACAGATTAAAAGCATGAGCTCATTAATCAGAAATGCTGATCCAGCGTCTTTCACTGCAGCGACTGGAACACAAACTTCTGCTGTCTGCTACTTGTAGGCTCTTTCATGCCTTCCGTTAGAATCTGGAAGTATAGCCCAGCTGGGTTAGCGCTAAACAGAACAGATAGATAGGCCAGAAGAAGAACGAGAAAGAAGAGAACAATTTTCCTCCCTTCCTGCAGGTGTTGTCCTGTGCTGTGTCTCTGACTATCAGTGGAATTTGAATTGAAGTAGGGCAAAATGTGTTATCCTAGTGTAAAGCTTAATCTTCCTTTGTTCGTGGTCTTTGTACATGTGGGCTGGCAGGAAGCGGAGCTTAGCCTACCCTAATAAAATTTCACTTTTTGAACAGAAACATGTGATTCCATTGGATGTAGGCAGGGATATGCTAACACTGGGAGTAAGGGCTCTTAATCTGCAGTAGCAGCTTGCCTAATGGTATGAGGAGTTTCCTGCACTGGAGAAGCATAGGGGGAAAGATCCCCATGGTAGCATAAGCCATAGAAAGTACCACAGGGGTAATATTACAGATCACAAACAAGGGAATATATATATATATATATATATATATATATATATATATATATTTGTTTGAATTCATGTGGCAGCTATTAGGCAGCACTGCATCAAGGAGTGCTGTGATCCTGCTTCTCAGGAGAAAAGTGAAAGGCAGAGAAGATATTTGTTGCTTTGTTTGCCTGTATTCAGCAATGACTTGCTGTCTAATCACTGCCAGACATTACCCTGTTCTGTGAATATGCTTGCTACCATGTGATTTCCTATCTGCTAGCCTTGTGTCATCGCTAGCTTCTTGCTTGAATCTGCCTGAATGAACGGGGAGGGAACAGAGTCACTGCCACAAGCAATCCATAGCAGTTCTTCTGCTGGTGATGGACAAGCACCTTATCTGTCAGTCAGGGCTTTGGACCTTATGGGAACTACAACCTCTACATGGATGGCTACTATGTGTCATGCATTTTTTCAAATAGCTATGCAAAGTTTCATTTTTGTACTGGTTTTAAAACAATGTACACCAATCTGAAAAGGTGTTTTGCCAGAGGCCATACAAGATTAAAATTCAAAGGGAGAGAAGACAACTCCCACCCCATAACCATCCACTCCTACCTGTCCCCATTCCCACAGCCCCCTCCCCATTCTCTTTCAGCACAACTTAGTTATCCAGGGCAGCCTTTGTTATTCTTATACCATGTGTGAAATGCCATTGCCTCCAATAGGTAATTTGTGCTGGAAGAGAAGGAAGAGGATTCTAGGGGTCAGGGTGAATGGGTTGCATCTAGGGGAGTTGGGTGAGTGGATGAGTAACTTACAAACCTTGGATTAGGTGAGAAAGCGAACCATTTTGGGGGAAATCATTAATCGTAGCAAGTGGGAGCAAGCTTACCCATCTCTATTTTCTAATGGCCTTGTGTCTTTAGACTTTATTATCATACCTGCAGCCCTTATGAGGCATTCTGGTTAGTTTTTAAGTGAAAGTGTAAGAAGTGTCCTAGAGAGACAAGTTGTCACAGAAACATGCCAGTTAGTCAACACACAGTTCAAAGTTGGAGGTAACTCTTTATTAGCAAAACTACAATCTTTACAGATTTGGTTGAGTGCCTGGCCTAATGAGCAGAGTAGCTCATTGCCAGTGGTCTTACTCCATAAAAATCCATTGCCAAGACAGAAATTCCCCATCTCCTTCTTTCCAAGCTTTCTCTAAGCAATCAGAGACTGTGGCTTTGTGCAGCCAACATCTCTGCTCTTTTCATGCCTCTTCTGGTTCTGGGAGAATGGGGGAAGGGGAGCTTTTTGCAGCAGGAGGGGGAGAGACTCGTGACTCTTCATTAGCCTGACTCATCTCTACCTTTTGGACTCCCTCCTCCCACTCTCCTGCTTCAGCTTCTGACTCTGATTGTGGACTTCTCTCCGCCCCACACTCTCCCAGCTCACTAGGCCCTGTGACCTCTTCAGCTTCCAACACCTCCTCTTCTCCCTGTTGTCCTTCAGACCACTCACTGTTGTCCCACCACTCCTCAGGCTCTGAGTCCCTGGTGGTTCCCCAGCCAGTTCCTCCCACCATTCCTCTTTGTCTAACCAATCCATGACTAGCTCATGTCCCCTCCTTACATTTCCCACCATTTCCCAGACTTGGGATGGCAGTTGGATGGCAGATGTGAAAAAAAGTGGCCCTCCTGTACTCATGGAGGCTCCCTACGGTTTTTGGAACCCTAATTTTCTAGGGCTTCTAGAACCCTGATTTTTCCAGGGTTCCAAAATGTGTTGGGAACCCAGCACAAATACAGAAGGTTCCCCATTGCAAACAGTTGCCCTTTGCAAGTTGGAGGGAAACTGGAACAGTGATGTGGAATGGAGAAAAGATAGTGCATTCATTCCCACAGCTCTCCTTCACATGTTTAATGCCTGAAGGTGGCATATGTCATTTTATGAGATGCACTAAGGTTAGAGATGCTCTGCTGATATGTAACATTTTTGGTTCTCACGAGGCAGGCTAGGAGTTTCCAATACAGTATCGCTTATTTGTAGGAGGCTCTAATTGTGGGCATCAGCTTTCTCTGTGGGCTCAGCCACACTGATAGCTGTTCCTGCCACTTCTGGTTTTCTTAGCTTTTTCTTCTTGCCATCTGAGCTGACAGCAGATGCTTCATCATGGCAGTCGTTGAGTAAGCCTGGCATAAGCAGAGAGGCCCAAGCAGAGAGAGCTGCAGTGTTAAGGCCTTCTGGCCACATGGCAGCATTCCAACCTCACAGTTTACTATTATGTAGAAGGTTATGGTTATTTAAGCCTTGCCATAAAACCCCTGTTAGAACATCTACTGTATGCCATTTCACTTATAATTTGGTCAACTTATAAAACATCTCCAAGCCAAAGTCCCCCCCCCACTCTTTTTGCTTCTGACCGAACCCAACATTTCCCATCAGTATGTATTGAACGTAAGGCTTCTTCACAATATTGGGAATGCCTGCCATTTTCATTTGAGGGCATTTGACTGGCATTTGGGGTGCCTTCAAAGTACTCATGCTGCTGCTTCAACAATGGTTGCACAGGTGCTAGCTTGCTGGTTGGCTGGGCACCCTCTTCGTCACCAGCATCCTACGATGCCTAACTTTCTGGCATTTTATGAACGAACTCTTTAACTGATTATGAGTGCAAAACATGACGCAGTTACTGAGGCACATTATTTAAGCGTGCATTTCATACTGGAATTTTTGCTGGACTTTGCCATTGTGAAAGGATGAAATCTTAAGATCACCATGACCTAAAGACATCTTAGGAATTGTAACTAGGTTTTTAGAAAACAGCAATGCCACCATATTAATAGCAAGAGCTCTCCAGACACTCAGACCCTGCATCCCATTTGATGCCCTGCATTCAATACACTTCCATAAATGGGTTAAGCAGGTATACATTGTTCAGAGGGCCAGTGTATGTTGATGAACCCAACCCCATTCCCAGAGTTATCCAAAGCCACGACAATATGGTTTGGAGACCTACCACCTCTAGTAGTATGTGCAACTCCTTACATCTCAACCACACACTATGTGATGCCCTGCACTCACCATGGCGATGCTCCTTATCTCATAGGGCATGTCCTGACCAATATGCATAATGGATAAGTAAGAGCCCTCCCAATAGTTTGGGGTCATGGGGTACATTTGAAAACCTCAAAAATTGGCAATGTTCAGAATGTCCCCCCAACCAGAGTTTGTTTACTTTTTAAAAATTAAAAAACTGGGGGGGGGCAGGAACCCTTGGTGGACACCAAGGGGATGTCTGAGAATGCCAGGGACACCACGGGTGCCACATTGGGGACCCCAGGGCGAGATCATGCACAGGTTACAGCTTTTCCAGGGGGTTGCCAACTTTTGCTGGATAATGAAGACAGATGACATTTTGCTCACAGTGACATATGCACTTGACATTCACAGAGACATTTACATCTACTTTTGTTTCTAATCACTTTGATTTTGAAGACAGAAATGGAAGAAGACATGCCTGTTATGAATGCAGAAAATCACGGCAACTCTGTATAGTCTGGTTGAGCCTGATTCAAAACCAAAGGAAAGGAAGACTGGTTTGTGTGAACCTTGTATCGGCACAGCATCTGCTATTCTGTTAACGGGGGGTGGATTTTATTATTTATTTATTTTTACATTTTTAGCTTTCAATGTGCATACAGTGGTACCTCGGGTTACGGACGCTTCAGGTTACAGACGCTTCAGGTTACAGACTCCGCTAACCCAGAAATAGTACCTCGGGTTAAGAACTTTGCTTCAGGATGAGAACAGAAATCGTGCAGCGGCAGCGTGGCAGCAACGGGAGGCCCCATTGATTAAAGTGGTACCTCAGATTAAGAACAGTTTCAGGTTAAGAACAGACCTCCAGAACGAATTAAGTTCTTAACCCGGGGTACCACTGTATTAGACAAACACCGTCTCCCTCGGCCTGAAAGCGAGATGAGCGCTGCAACGCCATAGTCACCTTTGACTGGACTTAACTGTCCAGGGGTCCAAAACAAAACAAAAAACAAACAAAAATTAGATCCAGGTTTTTCAGAAAAAGTGTGGCTCTTTCGTTCAAGTACATTACAAATTTATCTTCTGCACTGTTTTTGTTTAATTTTTGGAGCTTGAATCAAATATACTAAGATCAACTGTCTAATTCTAACACAAATAAACAGTGTACATTATTTTTAACAGACAGCAGTCAGCTGAAGATCTTGCAAGGGTGCCTGCAAATTCTACCAGCAACATCTTGAATAGACTTCTGGTTACTTACGATCCCAGGATAAGACCAAATTTCAAAGGTTGGTTAATGTACAATAACTTCAGTTTAGCTGTTGAAGCTACTTAAAAATTTTGTGTGTGTGTGTGTGTGTACCAACAACCAATTACATTTTATTCCCTTAATCCTATGGAATGGACTGGTGAGATTCCAGTCCACAATAAACAGAGAGGTAACGGAGCCCTTTAATCTGAGCCTGGCTTGTGAAGTTAAAAGAGAAAATCAATTAATCACTTAGGCTACAATCCTATGCATGCTTACTGAGAATACTTCTGAGTAGAAGTTGGGGCAATGGCCAGGAAGTGTCAGATAAAGTGATGGGCAAAATGGAACCAGAATAGAGACTCAAAACCAAATTAATTCCATCATTAAAAACTCCTGTGGGGGTTGTGCCTTATTCATCTCACCTGCCTCCGAAGGCTGCCCTTCTGTCCTTGATTTGGAAGGAGGCCAGGCCCAGATATGTGACTCAGGCAGACATGCAACAGGCAACCTTCTCCTTGGAAGGTGGTTCATTTCTGCCCATCTGCATCAGGGGGATTGTAGAGCAGAGGTGGTTAAGTAGATGCAGTGAACCAGATCCTTATTTCTCCTCTTACCGAGCTGCATTGTGACATGCGGGTGGGGATACCCACCTGTCAATCACATGATGTCACAGTGACATCAGGTGACCCATTTTTATTTTTTTTGGCTTCACTATTTGAAAAATGTTTTTATTTCCCTAATGCTGTTGTGAAATTTGAAATGTGCTACTTTACCAGGGATCATTGCTCTTGCAATATCTGGGGTTGTATCCAACTAAGTTATATTTTGAGTTGGCCAATTCAAATTTATAGGCCTAAGTTAGTGATATCCATTAATTTCATTGGGTCTGTTCTGAGCAGCACTACATTGCTCAACAGCTTTGGCAGCCCTATTAATATAGCTATCTTTTTTTTCTCTCCCAGTTCTTCAGCCTCCCTACCCACTGCATGAGTCTTGAAACAGAACTATCCCAATTCTTTTTGTTATAAAGGTTTTTTAAATGTGGGGAAGAGATTGTTTATTTTTACTATTGAAAACTATGAGACTTATTTTCTCTCTCTCTCTCTCTCTTTTAGGAATTCCAGTTGATGTAGCAGTCAACATTTTCATTAACAGTTTTGGATCAATACAAGAGACAACTATGGTGAGGCTGCTGTTTCTTGGATTTCTGCTTGTGGGTTTATTAACATAATTTATAGCCTACTTTCCATGAAACCAAAATAGAGCTGTGTAAACATGCTTCTTGATTTAGGCTTCGTATGTTGCCATTTTCTTGCCTGTCTGATGCATTCTATAATACGTTTCCAATAGGATTACAGAGTGAATATCTTCCTAAGACAGAAATGGAATGATCCTCGACTTAAACTGCCCACTGACTGGAAGGGGTCTGACTCTTTAACTGTAGATCCCACCATGTTTAAATGTCTGTGGAAGCCAGATCTGTTCTTTGCAAATGAAAAAAATGCCAACTTCCATGACGTCACACAAGAAAACATTCTTCTCTTTATATTCCGTAATGGAGACGTACTGGTCAGCATGAGGTACTTTTTCTTTTCAACTGCAAAGTTTTATTATAGACTTTGAACAAATGAAAGTCTCTGCTTGATTAACTGAGGCACAGATTTGGGATTTTTAAAAAAATTAAATTAAATTAAATTAAGTACACAATACTTTTGAGAAATAAAGTGGAGCTACTATATGGTCAGTGAGCCTGAATGCTTGCTTGAAAATTGTGAGTTAGAATGGCTGTTGATCTGAAATGGTATGGCTATCTGCAATCTTTCTGAGGACATGAACCACTGGATTTGGGAAGTTAGAAGGGTGTTCACATGTTACGTTCAACAAGTGTACAATGAGTACCTGTGTGTGCAAATAATTGAGCTGTTTTATAACGTTGAATGAGTGTAGTCTGTATACTTGCATACACAATAGCTGAACTGTAGGAAACATCAAATCCTTCATACAATGTAGAGACAGCTTATACCTATATTCAGTGTAACATAAGAATAAGACAAGCACAGGGATCATTCTCTTCCACTGACAATTTCTCCCATTCACAACTCCACATGGATACTATACAGATAAATCCACGAGCCTGATCATGTCTCTGTGCTGTATGCTGTAATGAAGCATGTGTTTTCTACGTGCTGAAAATGTTGCAGTGAAACTCCCCTAGAGTAGAAAAATAAGTGCATCTTTATATGAATACATTGCATACTGATCTGCTACATTTGTGAACATGAAAGCAAACAACAGCCACCACCTCCCCTTTTAACTTGAAGATTGCTTTGAATTGCTCACAAGCTTTCGGTTTATATTTCCAGATTATCCGTTACGCTTTCCTGCCCGTTGGACTTGGCCTTGTTTCCTATGGATACACAGCGTTGCAAGATGCAGTTGGAGAGCTGTATGTAAATCAGATTGTGCATAAAAATAGCTACCGCTTCCTGTTGTGCCTATATAAACTGAAGAAAGGATACACAGTGCACAAGGCTGTTGAATGTGGACTTGTACAGTGGTTTCAAAAAATCATGTTCATTGGTCTCCGTCTTTTATAATTCAACCCCTAGTTGTGGTACTTTGATCCTATGCATCAAAGTACCTGGGAGTAAGTCCCACTGAACTCAGTGGGAGTTATGTCTGAGTACATATAATTGTGCTCCATAGGCCTGATCTTAAAATAATTTGCTTGGAAGCCCAACTGGTTTTCACTGAAATTTATATCTGTCAAAGGCTGTTAGGATCATGGTGTAGTTTTAGCAGGGATGCTTATCAACTTCAGGGATTCTGTATCACAAGAGACTGCAGAGGGTGGGTGGAACCATGCCAAAGTAATGTATGTGATAGGGAGGAAAGACCTGTGGACCTACCTCCCTGCTCCTTGCATGGATTGGGGTGGGCTGGGTAGCAATGGGGTTGGAGCCATGCGGTTGCATGGGGAAAAGATTCACAGGTGGGATATCAAAAGGGAGAAAGCCCAATCCTCAGTAGGGATATAACTCAACTTTGAAGGAGGCACTTGCAGCATAGTTTCAGAGGACAGTCTTAACCAAATGAAAGATTCTTCAAAGAAAAGGTGGTCCTTCAGATAGACTGAGACCAGACCCATATAGGGCTTCTTGAGTCAAATAATGCATGCTGAATTGTGTCTGAAAACAAATTGGAAATCAGGGAAGATGTTTCAGCAGCAGTGAGATATGACCAGCATAAAGAATACCCATGAAATAATGAGGCTGCCATGTTTCGAGTCAAATAATCTAGGGGACAGTATGATTGAGAATTATAGAGTTGGAAGGGACCACAAGGGACATCTAGTCCAACCCCCTGCTATGAAGGAATATATTTTGGCTATTGCATTTGTTATTTTTATCTCTTAATCCTTTTTTCCTAAACACCTAGTTGGTTACACTACCGATGATTTACGATTTATCTGGCAATCTGGTGATCCTGTTCAACTGGAGAAAATTGCTTTGCCACAATTTGACATTAGGAAAGAAGATATTGAATATGGCAACTGCACCAAATATTACAAAGGAACTGGTATGTAATAGCAAACATTGATGAATTTCATGGCATGATCAGACTCTGTTCACCTATAGCAGTGGTGTCCAAACTTTTCAAAGAGGGCCAGATTTGATGAAGTGAAGGACCAACCAAAGTTGTTGAGCTTGCACCCCAGGAAATAAACTGCCATAGGGGCCAGATTAATGTTTGGATTAATGTTTAGATGATCATTGACATGTTAACCACAAAGTGATGAGGACAAATGCTCTCTCTAAAATAAGATATCAGAATGGAGGGGAAGTCATGTTATGTTTTGCAGCAGTTTATGCAGTCCCAATATCTGTCTTATCATTCAAAATATCTTGATATTTCTAATGGGCTATCCAGGTAGAACAGCAGCAGCCAATGTCGTACCCTTTAGATGTTGCTGGTCTACAGTTCCTGTCACCCTTGACTATTTGCTGTGTTGGCTGGGGCAGATGGGAGTTGGAATCCAACAACATCTTGAGAGCACCACATTGTCTACCCTGATGCAGGATATAGATAGCACTCAACCCTATGAATGGTATACTTATTTGTGATATAGAACATGTTTGAGAAAATGCACCTATATTTCTGAATGGTGCCAGAAACCGTAAACAGAAATATAATATGTCAGTTACTCTGGATGTGAGTGAAGCAGTTAATGATTCACCACTTCCAGAGCCCAACCATTTTCCATTTTCTCCCCCAGCATTCTTCCTCCCCCTTTCTCATTGAAACCGAAGGTGGGCAAATTACTCAGGCGATCTTCAGGCTGGTGCAAGTAAGGGGCCCAATCCTGGGGAAACAGAGGGACTTTGGCTGTAGCAGATCCAAGACGGCTTCTACCACACATACGAAACCTGACACCACCACCAACTGGTGGAATCAGCTCTATGCCAGTAGAACTTTTTGCAGGTTTGAGGTTGGAGAACCTCCCCAGAGGACATGACCCTTCCTGCCAGCAGCCCTTTTTTCCACCAGTGGAGAGGCACCTCTGCTCAGTCCTAGCCTCCTCCAGTCAGCAGATCTGGGGTTGGGATTGCTCTGTTCCTTGTTACACTGAAGAAAATTAACCACATAGGCAAGAACTCCAAGGAGAGGGGGACTGAGATACTTAATTCACTGGGTCTGTCAGAAGAATAGGTTTTTCACTGGCTGTCCTAAAACATGGAGCTAGAGCCTAAGTAGCAACAGACCTGTAACATTTGCTTGAGGGGTTTGCCTGATCTGAAATTCAGCAAGTGCACTAAAATAGGGTTTGTTCAAGTGATGCATTCCAAGTAGAGCTCTTGGTGATGCAGCCAGATAATTTTAGACCTTGGGCTTAATAGCCTGGACTATATTAAATGGTCTGATTTGGGATTGGCCCCATATAGAAGAGTCAGAATGGATATTTTATGATGCAAAAAAAAAAAATTCTACTCTGGTGGTAACATATACTTTGTGATGGAATTAATGGTCTCCATTATCCTATTTTGGAGAGGTCAGAAAGGGAGTAAATTCCAACAAAGTCAGTCAGGTTAGATGTCTGAAATTACATGCATGATGTACCAACAGTTAAAACTTGTTTCATCCATGTACCTTAATTGTTGGTTCCTGGAAGCAATTTTGGTAGGGCTTTCATCTGTCAAGTGACCCAGCAGTTGCTCATGGGATGGGTAGTGTTGGAAATGCCATGACTTTTGTAAGCTGTCTAGGTATCCTTTGTACTTAATGACATGTATTTTCGGATACTGGCTCTTCTACTCTAATACTTCTGATGGCTTGATGTTCAACCAAATACTAGGTCTGTTAAGTGGTTAACAAGTCAAGCTTATTGCGTGAACAGGGGAACAGATTAGTACTCACTATGAAGTTGTGCCACACTTTTTAACAACAACAAAAAGAGGTGCTGATATTGCGTACCATAGAGTACCCCCTGAAAAATTTCACCACTGATGCTACTGCATTAAACCTTAGTTCCTGAAACCTGATCTGTGATTATGCAGATTGCTGCTAGGTAGCTGCAGATATTTCTTGCTAACTATGATTGTATTAGCTGGCCTTGATAAGTACTAGATGATTAGCTTAGTGAGTCATACTAGTTGACACTATAATCAGCATGGGGGCATTATGATGAGGTATGTAAGAGGGGGAAATAATCAGACCCTCATCAAAGTGATCAGTGGAGGGGGTGGATTGCTGACTCATTTGCATTAGAGCTTTATTTTTGCCTGACATCAGTCCATTAATTAATTAATTTCATAGATTCAAAATCAGTTAATGGCTTCATTACAAATGCTAGATTTTTGTGTGTGGGTCTAACTGTAGTAGCAAGATGAAGAAATTCATAGTCTGCCGCCATTTTATGGGGCAGTATCTCATCATATCCTGAAGATTGTAGGAGAACATAATACAATTACAAGGTAATTGCATTCAGAAACAAATGGCATCATATATTTTATTCAGTTATATCACTGTTTCTTCCCTATTTCATTTCATTTCTCTCTTAAGCAGTGATTGCCAAAGTCCAGCTACCAGACTAACTCTCGTTGTTGCCCCAGGCTGGTTTTTACAGCTGCATATTCTTTGACTGGATTTTGAATCAGATTGTAATTCTGCAAAACTGAGATGCAATGTGTGTATTGGCAGCTACAGCATGGGGATTAATTGTTCTCCCAGTTATGAGCTTACTTTTAGAAGAATTGGAATCCTGATAGCACTTAACTCTACTAAACGTATGCTAAAGAGCAATCCAGCAAGTTTCTATGCCAGGCAGGGAGGAGAGTTGGATTGAGTTGTTGCAGTCACTTTGCTTGGCTCTGCTGCTACAAGGGCAGGGCTGAGACAAAGGGATTCTGAGCCAGTCTTGTAGCCATCACCTGCTGTGGCCTCATTCAAACCCAATTGTTGCACCAGCCAAGACTTGGTGCTGGGATTGGCCCTGATTGCCCTGGCCCTCCTCCAACTTCTGTAACCACTGTGGTGTCACTGCTTCATAAACCCCACCCCCAACAGGGGATAGGAGTTAGGATTGCACTCTTAGTGTGTTGGAGCAAACATGGATAGAAACAGCACAAGCAGGAGGAAGTTTCAAGATATCTCTTGTGTCCAGTTTTGACTGTTGAATTATTATTATAATGAAACTGCCAGCTGGCCTCCCTTAATGTGAAATTTACATTGTTCATCTCGGTGACTAGGAATGTTATGCTTTCTATTGAAATATAATATAAGGGCTTTTAGTCAGAGCAGGAGTGAATTTCTGACCTAACACAAACAGCTGAACACATAAAAGTCATATATAGTATGGAAAATGAAATAAGAATTTGACAATCTGTGGAATCCGTTTATAAATGGCATAGAAAGCATTCCACTAGCTTAAGATCATAAAAGAGGAGAGGATCAAATAACCAGTACATGTTCAATATGTTAATTAGACAATTTTGCTCTTCGTGTTTTATTTAGTTGTATTTTGCCCTGGACTTTTTAAATGATTATTCCCAAAACCATTAGCAGCGAACTTTATGTTTTATTATGAATGTTCGTACTTAGGTTTGTTGTGTAAAGAGGTTGGCTAGAGAGTGGTCAGTCCTGTGTCTGAAGCTCTGCACTCATGTGTCACTCAAAATCATCGAGAAAATTCATCCAAACATTATTTTTTTATTTTACAAGAAGAGATTTGTACTGTCACACAATGAAATTTCATTACATAGATTTTATTTCCCACAAAAAACTAGGAAATGGAATACTGCCATATTGGCTATGGCGTAATATCTGTCTATGTTTTATATACAAGAAGATGTAATCCTCTTATGGAAACAGACCTGCCCTTTTTGTCACTATAGGCAGAGGAGGATACTGTAGGTATATGTGCACATATGTGAGTGTGAGAAACCTCTTACATTCACCAAACCTTAGTCTTGCTTTTATTTTTCTCCTTTCAACTGACACAGTGCTGCTGAAAGCAGATACTCTCCTTGTTCAATCTCCCCCCACCCAAAGTATTTAAACCTAATTTAGGGCAAGTTCAAAGTTCAGGACAGCTTCCTTTGAAATCATATGAAGAACCCACAAAATGTGCAGCAGGGAGCTGGGTGATTTTAAAGCATCCGTATCTGAGACCAGGGGCTTCTAGAAACATGAATACCTAAACATGTCTATTCTTTCTCCAAAGGTTATTACACCTGTGTAGAAGTGATCTTCACTTTAAGAAGACAAGTTGGCTTTTACATGATGGGCGTTTATGCTCCCACGCTGCTCATTGTCGTCCTGTCATGGCTCTCGTTTTGGATCAATCCTGATGCAAGCGCTGCAAGAGTGCCTCTGGGTAACCTGAGTTTCACCTGAAGTCAGAACCACCCAGTGTCGCCCAGTGTCTGTTCTGTGGTTGCTTCAGTAGCAGATTTCATTGGATTACTGAAGGCAACTCAACTCTCATGGCATGCTCTTCACTCTCATCCCAATCTTCTCTTTTTCAGTCCCATACATGTCTCCACTTTTTAAAAGACAAGATCTGTAGCCTATAAACAGGTTGCTCCTGTCTCTGCTCACTAAATCACCACTGTGGCGTGTATGAGTGCAACTGTGAGTAGAACTTCAGAAGCATTATCAGCTTTGGGGTGCAGGGGTAGAATAACAGATCCTGGATCTTTGAACCTTAGCCAGGGGGAGTATATGGGGCTTCACCAACATTTGTTGAACATATGGGGGTGGGATGATGAAATGCTATGATACCCAATTCCATCTGTAGATTTCGGCTGAGAGTGAGTCTCACTCTCAAGTGAGCATTTCAGCAACAGCCCAGAGAACTTGGATTCCTATTTTTGTTTCATCACCAATAGGTTTGAGGGCAACCCCCCCCCCCCCAGCAAACCACCTTAGCACTAGCCTGGCTTTAATGTAAGTTGGTTTCTCGATGGGCCCTAGTGAATTCTAGTATGCACCCACAGTGCCCCTCTAGCTTACCTAATGGTGGAAAGTGAGTAATGGTGGCTCTAAGCAGCTGTCAGATGATGGACCACAAGAGCCAAGTACCAAAATAGCCATGAGGTAGACAGCAACAGTGGCGCTTTAAGCATCCTAGCAGCTGCCATGTTCATTTCCTAAAATGACCTTGATGTTCAATTGTTTCAAGAGTGATGCTACATCCAGGGCATTGGAGGAGTTGGAAATAGTCTGCACCCAGCAGTCCTTTGAACACCAGTTCCCAGACTACCCTATCCCCAAAAAAGTAAGCTTAAGCTGCCCTGAGCATGCATCTGTGTTGGTGGGCCCTGAGGCCCTAGCAGTTTTCCAAAGATACCATGTGATGCTGTTGCCCCCTTCAAGGAAACTTGAAGATGGTAGTACTGATGGTATCACACAACTAAGTTTCAGACTTAACTATGAACCTTGCAAATAGAAAAGTGAGACAGGACAAGCTGTCACCAGCCAAAGGGAAAAGGCTGCACAGGTACACTGAAAGGGCCCCCCACATTTATTCAGTTTGTGGGGTGGTCCTAAGTCACTTTAGCAGGGGGAAGATGGTGTGTCACTGTCTTTAGTTCTTTCTGCATGAGAACTAGGACAGGACAGGCTCCTCTAAATCAAAAGTTGTTGTTTAGTCATGTCCGACTCTTTGTGACCCCATGGACCAGAGCACGCCAGGCACTCCTATCTTCCACTGCCTCATGCGGTAGGGAATCCTTTTAGACCACATGCCAGAGGCAAAAGAGGATGAAGCATTCCAGGCAAGCAAAAACTCCTAATTGTGGCAGAAAGGAGGGCTGGCAAGGGGTGTGGCCAAGGGGGGGGAGAGAGTTGCAAGCGCTAGATAGAGAGGTCTGGTGGGGCATATTTTCCCACCTGGTCTGTGGTCTCTCACCCAGCCTATGGTCTACACAACCTGTTGTCCTCCTGTTGGCTAGCCCCCAGGGCCTTCAAATTCCAGCATGTTCAGAAGCCCTTCTCTGACATTTTCTGAAGCCATAATACTGTTGGTTTCAGAGCAAAGTGGCTACTTGATAGAAATCTTTCTTCCACCCCCTTCAGCCAGATTACACATTTCCTTTGAAATAGAGTAAGATCTTATTCTTTTCCATCTCTCTGAGGCTGAACTTTTCACCCTCAGATTCAAGGCAAATGGAAAGTAGCAGCAGGCCACAGTGACCTCCACTGCCCTGTTGAACAAAGCAATGAAAGGACAAGCTGAACTCTTATTCTAAAATCTGAAATCCATTGACTGAGGTTAGTTTTCAAACTTTAAATAGCTGTGAAGTACAAGGTATTTGAAGGACTATAGAATGTAGCTCTGCAAAGATGAATATCCTTGGCTCTTTGCTGTCAAAGGTGGGCAGTTGTTAAATTCAACACACATTTTTCAAAGTAGCAACATAACAACAGGATGGACGCTTCAGACTGTTTTGAGATGTATAAAATTAGTACCCATATAGACAACCACTTTGATTGCTACATTCCCTGCAGGGAAACTCGGGAGCAGTCAAGGCGCTCGGTTTCAATATTACTCCATCATTTTGTGACATCTAAAACACCATTTGATTGGTGGTAAGAACTAGCGCTGATAAGGGGGAAAGACATAGTTGTGTCATGATAAATAGTGCAGTTAGCAACAATAAAAACCGTTTGTAGCCATCATTGCTTATATATGTGTTCAGAATTATTATGTGATCAGTGCATGCACCGGAATCCATAATTCACCTTGTACATTCATTTTCATCTCCTGCAAAGCATCAGCAAGTCCTGTTCCTTTTTAGGAAATGTCATCCTTTAGGAACCGGCAGCATAAACATGGGAAGAGGCAGCAAAGAGGGAAAGGGCTAGCAGCGCAGGAAAGCTTCTATGACATTCTTGGATCTTTCCCACTCCACTTTAGGTATCTTTTCAGTGCTCAGCTTGGCCTCAGAATGTACCACGCTTGCTGCCGAACTCCCCAAAGTGTCCTATGTGAAGGCCTTAGACGTGTGGCTGATTGCCTGCCTTCTCTTTGGGTTTGCTTCGCTGGTTGAGTACGCCGTGGTTCAGGTTATGCTGAACAACCCAAAGCGAATCGAAGTTGAAAAAGCCAAAATGGCCAAAGCAGAGCAAGCAGAAGGGAAAGGCGGAAATGCTGCTAAGAAGAATACTGTGAATGGCACAGGCACCCCTGTGCACATCAGCACTTTACAGGTAAGTGCCCTTATTGTGTCTTTACTTTTGCTAGCTTGCTCAATTTTCGGTTGTTTGTTTTTTTAAGCATAGGGGGCAATGCTGTGTAGATGCTCAATTGGAGGGTTTTTGCCTAAGTAGTTCATTGTATTTGATTGTGATGCTGCGGGGAAGCATTTTTGGAAGTTTAAGATGCTTGCTGAAAGAGCTTCTGAAGTAGGCACACAAAGAAGGGTAAAAAAAAAATCAGACTTCTTGGCCCTGCCTTTAGCCAGAGGGAGTTATCTGCCTCAGGGAGCTGATTTGGGGTGTCATGGCAGCAAATGGTTAGGTATCCGATTTATTGTTTTATTTTTACTGCGAGGGAGGGGAAAGGCACTTGTGGGATTTTCTTGACTAGCCTTAGGGTAATATGTGCCATGGCTTGTGGGGAGAGGCACCATTTGCTCCTCCAAAATGTCATGGGAGGGCCCTGAGAACAAGAGATGTGCAACCGTGGTCCTTTGCATCAAATCCTAAGGGGGTGCCATTCAGAGCAGCCCTTTTTTCTTAGAGGCCGCACGACATTGCCGTGGCAGTATAATGTAGTATTAGGTATTCTCGAAGGACCACCACCACACCTTGTACTAGGAAGATGCTTTAGCCATAAGTGGGATTAGTCTTTTAGCTCTTTAAACGAATCAAGTCTTTGACCCCAGGAAATTTTCTATTCCTGTCCATCATAAGACAAAATGTCATGCCTCGTGTTAAATGCTGTGATCCTGATCCATGGACATAATTGATTAACCTTTTTTTTAAAAAAAGAAATTGCAGTTCCTTGGGAATGAGGAGGGTAACGGCAGCTGCACTTGCCTTAATAATAATAATAATAATAATAATAATAATAATACATTTTTTATTTATACCCCACCCTTCCCGGTTCAAAAACCGGGCTCAGGGCGGCTAACAACAAATTTAAAACACTTAATTATAAGAGCAGCATAAAATACAGTATAAAAACCATGAATAAAAATCAAAAATCAATTAGATAATCCCCAAGGCTAGCTGGTCCTACTTGGACAGCGAGGAGGCCAGGGGAGAATTAGCTGTGGGGTCTCAGAGTGGGTGATCTTCATAAAAGGGGAGGGGGAGGGAAGAGAAGGGAAATAAAAGATCAGGCTGAATTGCTGCAGTCTCATAACAGAGGAAGCAAATGAGAGCATCCTTTCTCACCATGGAGCACAGAAATGTTCTCTCTCACACCCTCCAGCTTTACTCTTTCCCATCCCAACCCTTACCTTTGGTGTGTGAGACACACACGCAGGGTGCGCCAGGTTAGAGAGAGCCAAAAATGTGTGACAGTGTCAGGACAGTGTGTGAGAGAGGTCTGTGTGCCTGTATTAAGTGTGGCTAGTTGTATATGTGTGTGTGTGAGAGAGAGAGAGAGAGATTGTGTTTGTGTGCTCCTGCCTCCGTCCCTCCAGATTAAATGGAGCTCCAGGGCCAGTGATGGAGCTGCATAACAGAATGCATTTATTGTCTCATCAATTATCTCAGAAGGTATTTTCATGGCTACAGTTGAGCATCAGAATGATTGCGCAAAACTAGATCAGCTATGCAGAAGATGCATAGATGCATTGCTATTGCTTAATTCCAGCTGACAGTCATGGGGAAATGTACAGCTTAGCTTCCCCTCTGAACAGTAGGAAAACACAGCAGAGTTTGTTCCCTGGTGCCAGAACCTGCCTACCAAGAAACAAATTACCATCTTGCACCCTCTAGTGACTCTTTGCGGCATCATCATCATTTAGAACAAATCCCTTTTGCACATACATAGTAGGCTATGTTTCTTAGTGAAGCGGGTGTGTGTGTGTGTGAGCGCTTAATAGTTCAGTTCAATTTGAGTATTCACACATACCGTTCTCCTGTGCCGATCAGTGAAAGGAGTCCCTTAGTTAAAATTGTATGAAATTATTGTGGTCTCTTCCAGTTTTTTTAAAAAAATAATATTTTATCAATAACGTTTCATTTATAAGAAGATAGAATGAGAAAAAAGAAAGCAAGTAAAAGGGAATGAGATTGAAAAAAGAAACAATACTGTTACCTTAAAGGTAAAGGTAAAGGGACCCCTGACCATTAGGTCCAGTCATGGCCGACTCTGGAGTTGCGGCGCTCATCTCGCTTTATTGGCCAAGGGAGCTGGCATACATGTGGCCAGCATGACTAAGCCACTTCTGGCGAACCAGAGCAGCACACGGAAATGCTGTTTACCTTCCCACCGGAGCGGTACCTATTTATCTACTTGCACTTTGATGTGCTTTCAAACTGCTAGGTTGGCAGGAGCTGGGACCAAGCAGCGGGAGCTCACCCAGTGGGGGGGATTTGAACCACAACCTTTTGATTGGCCAGTCCTAGGCTCTGTGGTTTAACCCACAGTGCCACCCGCATCCCTACTGTTACCTTACCATACATTAATATACAGAAATGCATATTCTCATTATCCTAATATACATATACTTTTCAATAACCTAATATATTCTGTGTAAACCCATTCAAAATATCATTGTACTTATCCAAGAAAGTCTATGTCTATAAGCTGTCCATTCATATGTTGCCACTGTGGTCTCTTCCAGTTGATCCCACAGCTCTAACATTATCCTTTTTCGGTTTGTGCTTTTGAACATACGTATGACAGTGCTAGCTCTGTCAGAGTTGTGGGTTCAAGTCCCATGTTGGGTGAACGATTCCTGCATTGCAGGGAGTTGGACTAGATGATCCTCACGGTCCCTTCCAGTTCTATGAATTACCTGATTCTATTGTTGTTTCAAAGAAGGTCCCTTTTTACACTTCCTTTAAAGGCATACATTCATTTTTCTCTCACTATTTCTGAAGGTAACGTAAAAAATTAATATGAGAGGGTGTGGGTTTTTTAAGGGTCAAATATTTCAGTCTTTCCTTGTAGGGAAGTTGATTCTTGCTTTGGGTTGCCCAGTCCCTCAAGTTTTGAAATATCACATTTTCATCCTGCCCGTTTAAAGATACTGCACCCCCATCCAATATGCATTGGCTTAAAATAATGACTTTGGCATCATGCATGTGATGAATATATTTCTGAAGGTGATGAAAATGTAGGCAATCACTCCTGAAAGAGAAATATGTATATTGCTTGTGTATCTTTTATAACCTCTAACGAGAAATCTCCTGTCCCTTGCTTCTGATACAAATCAGCACAGTCACAATTTTGGCTAGCATTGTCCATTCATATGTCCCTTCATAGTATTATCCAATCACAAAAAAATTGCCCATGTTTTCTTTCTTTCTTCACTTGTGCAGTTTGTCATCATGAATATTTTCTGAAATTCCTCACAATGCATTTATTTTTTAAAAAGGACACCCCCACCCAACTTCTGTTCAGATGGATAAACATAATTTGCCTTTGAGCAGATTGTTTAGGACTTTATTAGCATAGATTTTAAATAAATTACCATTATGGTCCCAGAACTCTGACTCTTTGATAATGACAAAATGTGTTCAGCATGAAAACTTTGATGGATGGAATCTGAATTGAGCCAGGCAGATTTTTATTTGCGTTTTTAAGGCATATAGATATATATTCCAGCTGTCTTCATATTTATGCCAGAGTGGTTTAAAAATCCAATTGCAGATTAAGCAAGATATACAGTAAAACAATTAAAATCAATACACAAATAACACAATTGGAACAGCAGCATGAAAATCTGGCAGTTTGGTATATCTTACTTGCATGTAATTAACAGAGCAAAGAAACAACTGCAGAGTCCAGTCGATGTAGGCCCCCAGCTAAAATTACAGTGCAGTCCTAACCACATCTACTCAGAAGAATTCAGTGGGCTTTACTCCCAGGTAAGAGGGGTTAGGACTGCAGCCTTAGTCATGAGTCTCAAGTTGCAGCCCAACCCATATAGAATAGGTTAGCTAACGTGGTTATGTGCTTGCTAGAGTAATTCATGGCTTCCGAAATGCTGTTTGTTTGTTTTCCTAGGTTGGGGAGACCCGATGCAAAAAAGTTTGTACTTCGAAATCTGACCTGAGATCCAACGATTTCAGTATTGTTGGAAGCTTGCCAAGGGATTTTGAACTGTCAAACTATGACTGTTACGGAAAGCCCATCGAAGTGAACAGTGGGCTTGGGAAGTCTCAGGCAAAGAACAACAAGAAGCCCCCTCCCCCCAAGCCTGTCATCCCGTCAGCCGCCAAGCGGATCGATCTGTATGCAAGGGCGCTGTTTCCATTTTGCTTCCTTTTCTTCAACGTCATATATTGGTCCGTATATTTATGATAGACCTTTTTATTTTTGGAGGAATAAAGAAGTGTGTGCAATATATGCCATTCCATTCCATCATGAAGGCCGGTCTGCAACAATTATTTTGCATTTGCAAAGCAATATATTGCATATTAGATGCCCTATGTGACTGTAATTGGGGGGGGAGAGAAAGGGGCATCCTGGTTTTGAATGAAAGCATGACACCGCAATGTCTGTGCTTGAACCAACTGTTGTATATAAATGTACAGCGTACATCCTGCTTTAGGAATATACGAAGGACAACGCATACTACATTATTGAAGCTGGACAACACTCCCTATGAACATAACCAAGAGTCAAAGTGTTTCTGATAATGAAACCGATGTGCACGCTGATTACCAGTAAGATCAATATTCTAGTATATGTAGTATTTAAAAGTTCTCCTTATGACTCTCAAAGCCAAGACCCATCTTGTTCTTGTATAAAGTTAAATGGCACTGTGGAAGAACAAGCTGATGTTGTAATTCAAATCATGTAGACTTTGTAAGTGGGCCAAGTATATCTTAAGCTGATCTTGTCTATGTGGAAAAATAAAGATCAGAGAATTACTAGTTTTGCAAAATCAGATCATTTATTTAAAAATTGCACCATGTGTTTCAGCATGAGCCAAGCGTGCTGCCAAACATAGTGGATGGGGACTGGTTCAGTGCAATGGACTTTGAAGAAGCCCAGGGCTAAAGAGTTCTGTCCTAACTATAAGGTCACTTACAGTGCAGTCCTACATACTCATTACACTGGGGATGGAGACTTGCAGTTACTACACTAGTTAGATGCTCAGCCTGGGAAGGGAAGGATCAAGTACGGAACCAGAACGTACAAAATAGTATAAAAAATTCAGATACAGCATCTGTGGAAATGCTACCAGCACCCACCAATCACGTACTGTGTCCGAGATGACACCTACAGGTTATTCACACCCAGTGGTAGCCAGGGAACTCACAGTGATAGAGACACGCCCCCCCAGCACAAAACCCTCCATCACCATACACTGAAAAAGCAAGATGGCAACATGCTGCCCTGCAGCTGACAGGCATCTCTCAGGTAAGGGCTTTGAATCCCCTTAGGCTCCTCGCAGCCTAAGCACAACACTTGCAAATAGAAGGTGCACAACACAGCAGCCAAGTATACATGCAGATAGCACTTGCAGTCTTCCTGGGACAAAGGCTAGAGACCCACTCAGGAGGGTTTTATGGGCCAGGCCACATCCAGTGTTCTGTTGTGCTGATGTGGGTGGGTGGGCATTTTCTAATTTGCTCCCCTTCCTTGAAGTTGATCATAGGAAGAACCCTGTGTCCCTGGTCTGCAACGGTTTGAACTAGCTTCCTTTCCTTCCCACTGACAGTCCTGGATCGCTCGGGACACCTAGCCCAACCTAGAGCAATCCTAGAGCAATCCAGGGCTGTTTCCACGACTCAGGAAAAGCCCAGATCCCTTCTCATCACCCAATTCAGTTTAGGCTTTGGGGTTCAGCCCTAGCCATCTGTCATGGATTACAACCTATAATCTCAAAGTTTACCATACAGTTTTAATGTCTCTATTTAGTGTTGCTTCCAACCATATAATCTGGAATGCAAGAGCCCTATCTTTCCCCCAAATCCACAAAAATATCTTTCTGCGGTAAGATCCTAGCAATTAAAATCACCATAAAGCAAAAAGCCCACATTGTTTTCCTCACATTGAATCTCCACACCTAAGTTTGGTAACGAGAGCAAGTGAGACACTGCTTGGAAGAAAGCTTTGACTTGCACTGTCTTCTTGAGGTCTGTAATTTCAGCCAACCAAATAAAGAAATAGCTATCACACAACGGAGATGAAATTTATCCAGCCAAGACTGCCATAGTGAAGAGCAAAGAAATGGGGTTTGTGTATCTGAACATTGAGGGTACAGTGTCTTAATTAAGATTACAGTTGTTTGAGGCCCCTGGAGGAGAATCAAGTTACAAAGCTTTGTCAACTGACACTGATTCAGTCTTGCTTAGCATGGAATTGCATTTGAGTTGTTTATTTCACAAACAGAACCATTTATTTCCTATTGACAGTGTACTTGGGAAAACAGAATGAGAATTTGACTTTGTTTGTTTGCAATTATTGAAGATTCATCAGGCCCCAAATGCCATGGTGGGGGGAAATGCCATGCGGGGGGAGGGAAAATGTGCTTGAGGAGTTTATTTATTTATTTATTAAACAAAATTTGATTATAGTTAGACCTCTAAGTGGTTTGCACTAAGAGGATGAGATAGAAGTACTCTAATAATTAAACATATTTTTTTAAAAAAATATTATTTTACATATGGGACATTTCAAAGGTTTTTTTTTTATTACAGAGATACAGTGTTTAGCTCATTTCATACGTGCAGACAGCAACAGCAGCTTATAATGTGGATTCCAATAACATGGAAATGAGTTCACATAGCAAGCTGCCGATACGAGGAGTCTTTGGGGGAAGCCATTACTGTTTATAGTGGTATGAACTGGAGAAATAATTCTTGCTCCTGATCTATCAGGCGACATTCACAGGTTGAAACAGTGTATGGTGTTCTTGTATGAACTGAGTTCATACTCATACAAGTGCATACAATTATGCACACCCAGCTTAATCAGTGAGGCATTATATGCAATCCCCATTTACACTTCAGGGTATGAATGAGATAGGGCTTTTACGTCTCCATCCTGCAGCTGAATTGGAATTACATGGGATGGTTCTCTTTGGACGTGCATTCCCTTTCACTGTTCATGCACAACACTTACGAACTGAATCATGTTGAATTGCATGGCCAGATTTGAGCAGTTAGTGCATGCCACACACATGACAGGATACACACACATAGATTCATCTCCCTTCAACTCACTGCTTCTCCAGATTCTAGAGGGAAAATAATTACCTTGTGCTGCAAACCCCTTTGAAGTATATTTTCCTTGTTAGCAAAATGACTTTTCTGTAATTATTGCCTACATTTTAACTTTACCATCTTTACATATGGATTTACTTTTCAAATTAATTTCTGTTCCTCTTTGCTTTTGTGCCTTCTTGATGGCCTTTGTGTTTATCACCAAGCATTTAATCAATAATGTAATAATTATTTTTTCTACTAAACTCACACAAGAGGATACATGAGAACTGTGTGCTGTGATATGCTTGGTAATACAGGTCTGAAGTGGCATCACTGGCAAAGGCTGGGAAGCAGAGTACATGAGGAGGACAATCATGTTTTGTTTTGCAAGGTCATGAACTGTATCCCACTGCAACCATTTCCCTCTCACTTCAGTGAGGAGAGAAGAAATTCAAAAGGCTCTTTTAAATCAGTACCATGATTTGTCAGATTGCTTCTTATTCTTATACTTCTTCAACTGCAAGCCACCAAGAGTGGCACCAAGACATTTCTTATCTCCTGATTCACATGGCTAATTGATGGGTTTAGATTGCTCAAAACAGATGTTTTGACACACAGGTGTCTTCAGAATTTCAGATAACCTAACACACTCTTTTTCCAGCAGTTGGCTAATACCTTGCCTATTTCATGTCCTTCAACCCCTAGGTCAACAGAATGAGACCAAATACAATTGGCCCATGTGATTTATTTATATTAGTATTCCATTTCTGCCTGCTTTTCTGCCCACAGGCCTCCAATTCAGCCATAAAACAGAAGACGGGCAAAAGCAGCACAAAGCTCCTTTCCAAACACCCCACTCTGTCCTATGTGAGAAATACCATAATGAGTATAATGACCATTATGTGAGCTCTAAATGTAAACCCAGCTAGAAGTCTGGCAAATGCATTTTAGACCAGTTGAAGAAGTTTCTGAGACATCTTCCAGGGCAGCTTCACACAGAACATGTTACAACAATCCAATCTGAAAGGTATCAGAGCATGGAGGCAAAATCACATCTGTCCAAAAGGAGCTATATGTAGTTGGTAAACCAGCTGCATAGTTGGGAATGGGCACTCCTAGCCACTGAGGCCACCTGATCTTCCAGTGGCAATGTTGAATCCAGGAGTACCACAGCCTACAGACCTTCCAGGGGAGTGCAAGTCTGTTCAGAACAGGCCACCTCCCCACCTCCGGGACTGGAGTACACATAACATTTCTGTCTTCTCAGGATCCAGCCCATCACTGCTTCCAAGAACCATTCTGGCATCTGAGCTGCCTCTCCTGATTGAGATGGAATGGAGAGAGAAAACGGGGCACCTGCAGATGGATAACACCTCACTCCACATCTCTTGGCAATAGCTTCCAGCGGCTTCAAATAGATCTTCAATAGCATGAGAGACAAGATGCAATAGCCCCCCATAACTGCTTTCTGAAAACAACCTCGAAAGCAGGAACCAATCATCACCTCCTGGAACTGGTCCAGAACGATATCATGCCAAATAGTAGCAAAAGTCACTAAGAGATCAAGGACTTTGTGCAGGGTTGAACTTATTTATCTCTCTCCTGACAAACCAGAGCAGTTTCGGTGCCTGAAGCAGGATGATGCATTTTCTTTTTTATGGTGATATGTAAGTAGCCAGCCTATCCTTGTTCTAGTATCCTTCTAGGTAGGCTTTTCAGCTCAGCCTCTGGGTTGCCCCTGACTTCCTGCAGATTTACCATACTGGCCCAGTACTCCATCTAATACTGGTTGCAATCCTAGGTCTTTCAGTCCCTGCATGATCAGCTGCCTAAAGCCCTGTTCTGACTGATTCTAGGCATAAATGCTGCCATCCTTTCCATGCGTATCAACCCTGTGGATATTTGCTAAGACAATTACACATGAATAACACATGAGGTTTAAACAATGTATTATATATACCCATAATATTTTTAAGTGCTTTCATTCCGACATTCATTCATCGCTTCAGTGACCATTCAAGACATCTACAAGGTATCTCCCAATAGTATGTTTCCTTGCAGTTTGGCACTGAAGAAATGAGATACAAGGAGCAAGGGGGGGCAGAGATTATCTTCAGCTGTGTCAGCCCAGTTCAGACCCCTCCC